AACAAGTTACAACTACTTTTCCGGAAGCCAATCTCCAAAGAACTTTGATGTTAAGCGTGCTTGGTCCCGCACAGCGTGCTTAGTCTGGAGCAATTTTAGGATGGGTGACCGACCGGGAAGTTTTAATTTCCCGCGTGGGTGCACACGAGTGAAGGCAGGGCAGGGCTAGCCATAGTTAATACCCGTCACAGATGACCCTTATCTGTGACGGGCATCAACTATAGCCCGTCACAGTTAAGGGTCATCTGTGACGGGCGCTAGTTGTGGCCCGATAGAGATAGGTTTTCTTTCGAGACTATCTTAATATAATATAAAAGATAGATTATAATTCGTTGAGAAGACATTTATTCTATTATTTTAGCTTTTTATTTTTTATTTTTTTTAACTCTTTGGATGACAAAAAAAAGGAGGAACCCTAATTTCATAGAATGCATGGCTTTGTCTGTTACCTAGAATTGATATTAGAAGGCTGATTAATGATTTTTTTCTCATCCTATTTAAACCTACTACCTCCGTTTTATAAAAGTTTAAGGTTTGAACATGTGTATAAAAAAAATCAGATGAAATAAAATAGGAGAAGGCTATATGATGGGTTAAAAAGAATAAGTAGGTGAAGAATAAAATGTGGAATTCTATAATTGGTTAAGAAGGAAATGTAGATGGGAGAAGTTGTTACCAGTACTGTCGGTAACCTAAGAACCGGGTTACCCATGAAGGTGCCATGTGTCACTCCCTCCGGCTCATGATCCACATGTGGGGATCAATTTGGGTGGCACTTGGCTCATCCCAAAACAAGCAGAATATCAGGGTATCTGATGTTAGTCCTTAGACGAAAATTGGACGACACATTCAGAGTGGTCTTTGGTTTTTATAACATTGCACCATTTACGTTGGATGGGACGATTACAATTATCTACCCTGAGGCATGAAGCATGGAAAACAAGGTGGCAAATGTAGTAATTGAAACCCATCACTTCCATTGTGTCATACCTCTCACGAGAATGGGTAATTGGACAATTCATTAAAATCCTTTTACTGGACAATGACAGGAGGGCCCAGTTGCCAACCAGGCACGATCTGCACGTGCGTGGATTAAGTTAGGGTTCGTGGCAGGCTATTGCCACACATCACTTGTAGCGGGCCCCGCTCATGGTTGCCCTGAGGCCTTAATGGATCCTGCGGGTTTGCGGGCGAACCCTCGCGGTGCCTAACTCATAGCTGGCCCCACTCCTAGCTGACCTAAGGCCTTAGGCTATGTTCGCTCTAGCGTGTTCTCAACTGGAACACTGCGCATGGAAAACGGAATGGTCCATTAGCGCGTGATTAATTAAGTTTAGCTTTTTTTTCAAAAATGGATCCATATGAATTTTTAAGCAACTTTCATATAGAAACGTTTTGCAAAAAAAAAACGCACCGTTTAGCAGTTTGAAAAGTGTGCTCGTGGAAAACGAGGGAGATGAGTTGGAAAACTTGGGGGTAAGAACACAGCCTTAGTGGATTCTGCGGGTTAATTTGCGTGGCGAGCCCTCGCAGTGCCCAACTCACAGTTGGCCCCATTGGGGCTGGCCTTGCCCTGTGAGCATCCTGAGTAATATACCGTCTAGTGTCTAACGTAACCACCTCCACCACATGTATTTGATGAGTGAGATCCATGCACGTATATAAATAGTCACTCATTCTCAATGCAACCATGATGGCATTTGACACTTTTCAATATCTTAACCATGACACCGAGTTGTAAGAAAGATATTTGATGGAATAGCATTCTAGGCCGTCCCGAGGTTGGCCCCGAGGCAAACTAAGCAAGCAAGAAAGGGAGTTGCTCTCTTGCTGTCAAAACTTACCTAATAAGGATACGGATAAAATCTTTCCTTGAACTTCGGTCATGTGCTATGTAGTCGATAAACTATTAAGATCCTTCAAAGCGAGAGAAAACCATCACAACAGAAGTAGGGTATTACACCTTTGGGTGGCACAAACCTATATATATTATCGTGTTCATCGCAATAAAAGTGCGAGAATGGTTCGAACCCCTTACTCACGTATGACTGTACTATCTACATCCGCATCAAAATCTGCCAGATTTAAAAAAAAAACACGTATCATAAATATCCTTGCTCCAGCCCGAGACAGATCGGATCGGATCTGATATTATCCGATCCGTTTTCACTGGTAGTAGGTACTAGGCTTGATATCCACACTTATCCACAAGAAAACGATATGCCTCAACCTAACCCAAGCATCCACAAACAAATGACAACACCACCACACCCATATATGGGAGTAGCGAAATTGTGTTGATTGAGCCTCAAGTAGGGCTATTCAAGTGCTCACCTCAAAGGGTTTCAAGTAGTGCTACCAGCTACTGGCGGTGCAGTGCGGCGACAGTACCGGTAGCAACACCAACACAGCAGGCAACATAAGTGTTGTTTTCGTGCTGACGAAGCTAAAAAAAAACTCAATTCGCATGACAAATCAAAATTATTAGCAATCACAAAGCTTTCAAGAAAGTCAGAATGAGCGATCGTTGAAGAGAGGGACTATCATCGATCAATGAATATAAATTATATATGTATGGCTAGCCTCTTATTCGTGTACAATTGATTTTTGGCTAGCTAGTCAAGTGGAGTAAGAGATGACAGTGATATAGATCCTGCTAGCGGCAGCGACAGAGGGGCGGATCTGGCACTCCCTCCCCTTCTTGCATAGATCGTGTCGCCGCTCCGCACCCAATGCAAGTGGATGTGTTGGCTGCGGTGACGGGAGATTCGGATCCGGCGCCTCCTCCCCCTCCCGCGTGGATGCCACCACCTCTCTACCCGCCATTCCCACGCGAGGATCTGCCGCGGGCTTCAAGCGATGAGGACGGCGGTGTCGGCTTCTGAGTTTTAGGGTTAGGGTTTCGGGGCTAGGTTTTGATTTTCGGAATTACTACTTTTTTTGTGACTTTTTATTTTCGCAGTTGGCTTTAGAGCTATTCGATTTTCGCATGCGATTACTCCCTGCGTGCAAAAATTCGATTTTCATTGACACCTTAGTGCACATGGGCCACCCTTCCAACTGCAAAAATTGATTTGGACTGTATGAAAAAATGGATCATGTAGTAGTGGACTTCTTCAAATTACATTTCTCTTTACCGTGAATAGTCAACTGGGGTAAGCGTAGACATCTGCAAGCAGTTCCTCGACCAATCGCTCAGGATGTAGGGCGACGGTGGGGCGGTGGTGGAGCCCCGCCGGTCGGCCGGCCGGAAGTGGGAGAGTCGCCGTCGTGGTTGGTGTGTAGGCCTTGAGTTGCGTACGAATAATTCACGACGCCAATGCGTCGGATGTGCTGATGCTGGCAGCTCGAATGTGCCAGTGTGGCCGTGCAGGTGAGCCCAAACGTTGACACGTGGTGGCACGGATTTCAACATCTGGTTTAATTTGCTTTCCGGCCAGCACGTCACTTTAACTTCGTCAACACCACTGTCAGTGTTTGGAGTCCTAGGGGTTGTTTAATGGAGCTAAAACTTTTTAATTACCAACATTGGATGGTTGGACGCTAATTTAAAATATTAAATATAAATTAATAAAAAACTAATTTCATAAATGAGAGCAAATCCGCGAGACGAATTTTTTAAACCTAATTAATCCATAATTATCAAAAGTTTACTGTAGTATCACATTGTCAAATCATGGCGTAGTTAGGCTTAGAAGATCCGTCTCACGAATTAGTCCAAGGTTAACTCCAAATTAGTGTCCAAACATCCGGTGTGAGTTCCTTTTTCCTAAACAGCTCCTTATTTTGACGTTGGATCCAGACCAACCATGGAAGTACAGTATATATCATGCATATGCATGCATTCAGCAAATTGCTTACTACTCGTTCCAATTTTTAATATATATATATATAACGCTGGTTTTTAACTATTTACTTTATTAAAAAGTTACATAATTATAATTTATTTTGTTGTGACTCGTTTTATGTTTTATGGTTAAAGAAAACTAACTTGCATGTATTTTATATATTTGAAAAAAATGTTTTTAGCAAAACGATCGATGGAGAAAAGCATTACTTAACTGGTAGCACTAGCAACAGATAAACCACTATTTGACAATGCAAGCGACCTAACGCACTCATGCATGCATTGGTTGCTTCACCTGCAGGTTGACATTTTTTTTTTGGCAAAATTTGCTACAGGACACGCAAAAAACTCGTAATTAGCTAAGGGACACCGAGAAAACATGAAACTGCCCGAGGACACTGCAAAAATTATGTAATTGGCTATAGAACACTGGTCGTATTATTTTATTATTTCCGGGTCAAAAGAGGTGAGATACTTTTCTAAATGCCCGTATTGCCCCTTCTCTTTCCTTCTTTCCCCTTCCCGTTGACTTCACCGGGAACGCGCGATGCGGCGGGCACAGCTAGGTGCCATGCGGCGGCGGGCGCGGCTGGGTGCCGAGCGTCTGGTGGTGACGCCAGGCCCGTCCACCTCCCCGTCGATTGGTTGGTCTTAATGGCTTCCTCAAGCGGGAGTGGGGGGAGCACGGTGTTGGCGGCAGCGGGGGAGGAGGGGCGTCGTCAGCGGTGGTCGGGGCGGCGGTTGCGGATGCGGAAGCAGCGCCACCTCGTTGACCTCACCGCGTAGGTGGCGCACCTCCGCCGCGACAACGCGCACGTTGCCACCGCGCTCGGCCTCACCACCCACACCCAGGGCCTCCTCGCTGTCGACGCCGAGAATGCCGTCCTCCGTACCCAGGCCGCCGAGCTTGCCGCGCGCCTCGCCTCTCTCAACGACATCGTCTCCCCGCATCGTCTCGCCACTGAAGCTGCCATGGCAGAGACCAACAAGAAGAAGAAAATATACTTGCCATTGGGGGCAATCTTGTCATTTCGAAAAAATGCTCGCCACTTTCAGCCAGAAAATAATAAAATAATGCGTTCGGTGTTCTACGGCAAATTTCACATATTTTGCAGTGTCCTCGGGCAGTTTCACGTTTTCTCGGTGTCCCTCAACTAATTACGTGTTTTTTTGCATGTCCTGTAACAAATTTTGCCCTTTTTGTGTCACAGTATAAATTAAGTTCCGTACGTGCATACTTGTATGCAACCATCAAAATTGGAAAAAAAAAATTCAGTTCACCGGCCGACTAGCTAGCTACTACAGTAGTGGCTATACATGGAGCTTCTTCTTGTCCTGCTGCTCGCCGTCACCTGCTCTCCGGCGATGGCCGACGTCGTCTCCTACAGTTTCGCCGCCGTCGGAGGCGGCAGGGCGGCGTCGAACGGCCTTGTGGTGGCCACCAACTCGTCCATCCTGTCTCCCGCCACGTTCCTCTTCGACGCCCAGCTGTTCCCCGTCTTCAACGAGTCCGACGGCTTCCTCCTCCTCGCCGACACGCTCCAGCTCTGGCGCGCCGCCGCCGCCGGGATGCCGCCGGCCCTCGACGCGTCATTCAACACGACCTTCACCTTCCTCTCCTCCGCCGTCGCCTTCGTCGTCCTCCTCGACAGCTTCCCGCCGCTGGCGAGCCACCGCGGCGTTTCGGCACCGACCGACGGCGGCGCCATGACGACGACCAACCCCAACGCCACCAGCAGCCTCGCCACCGTCGAGGTCGGCACGGTGAACTCGTACGGCCGGCGATCCCCCAACGTCGGCCTCAACGTCACCGTGTCCGCGAACCGCACGGCGGCGCCGCATGGCCTCACCGTGTGGATCGAGTACAGCGCCGTCGAGCACCACCTGTGGGTGTACGTCGCCGCCGCCGGCGAGGCAAGGCCGGCCAAATCCGTCATCGACCTGCCGCTCAACCTCCCCGGCCGGCGGATCACACAGAGAGCGTTCGTCGGCTTCTTCGCCGGCACGGTCAGGGACGCCGTCCTCGGCATCCGTGACTGGAACCTCACGGTGGACAGGTTCCCGGGCGACGGGCGGCGGCGAGGAGAAGACGTTGATGAACAGGTGAAGAAGGGCACGCCGCCGTCGCGGTGGCTGGTGGCGCTGCTCGCCGTGCTCGGCGCCGTTGCGGCGGTGGTGACCGTGGCGTCGGTGGTGGTGTGCTACATGGTGTCACGGAGACGGGCGCTGGAGACGGAGCGAATTAGGCAATACACCAAGTACTATTTTCCGGCAGGAGGGAGGCCCGGAAGCAACTGAATGTGAATAAAATGAAATTATCGTACGTAGGAGTATTAATTTATATTACAAGTCGCTTTGATACTTCTTTTTCTTGTCAAATATTTCTAAGTTTGCTCAAGTTTATAAAAAATTACACTAACTTTTTAACACAAAACAAATATATTATCAAAATATATTAAATATTAGTTTTAATAAAAATAATTTGGTGTTGTAGATGTTACTATTTTTTCTATATATAAACTTAGTTAAACCTAAAATAGTTTAACTAGGAAAAAAATCAAACCTTATACTCCCTCCGTTTCAAAATGTTTGACACCGTTGACTTTTTAGCACATGTTTGACCATTCGTCTTATTTAAAAAAATTTGTGAAATATGTAAAACTATATGTGTATCTGAAAGTATATTTAACAATGAATCAAATGATATGAAAAGAATAAATAATTACTTAAATTTTTTGAATAAGACGAATGGTCAAACACGTATTAAAAAGTCAACGGTGTCAAATATTTTGAAACGGAGGGAGTAATATGAAACGGAGAGAGCATGTTTGTAGTAGTAGTTATGCATGCAGGTATGCACTCGAGGTTTTAAATTTCAAACAAATTGCGTTGGAAATGTTTGAAAATATTTTGGAACTTTGATAATTATGTTATCTATGGCTCAACAAAATTTTAGTTTAAAATACAACTCGTGTAAAGAGAAACAAAAAATGGCAATGCTATTAAGCTGTAAAGTGGAAACCGAAGGTCTCTCTTCTCCAAAATCACGAGGCGTCCCTCGAACCCTCCCTTGCTACAGTAAGCCCTCCTTGGCAGAAGCGGCGGCGCTGCTTTCTGTCCAGAAGGTGGCGTTAGCGGTGGAGGCGTCCTCCCATCTTTCCGTCGCCGGTTTTGACTAGAGCGACAGTGTTGACTTCGTTCGAGCCGGTGGCGGTGGCAGCAGCTCCTCGAGTCGTGTAACGCTCCGCTTTTCGCGTGACGTTAAAAACTAATTCGGCAAAATCCTAACTGCGAAAATTTTCGTTCTTTGTGTGCGAGTCTTAGTTGTGCCAAGGATCTCAATTCAAATCTCGTTGTTCCCTCTCATCGAAATCAAAATCCTCCACCTCAAATTCCTCTTCCGATTCAAGTCTCCAAATCAAATTCCGAAATTCAATCGCATCCTTTGAATCCTCGCTAAACACTCGCTCTCAATTCCGAAAAATACCAAACCCTATCTTGAGCCTTCCTTGATTCCTCCCTGAACCCTCGAGTTCGAATATCGAATTTGAATCCAAATCCAAACTCCAATTCTCTCCAATTCAATTCCTCTGCAGAAGTCTATTTTGCCTCCCTCAGGCTCAGTGGGCCGACTCTTCCTCCCCGGCCCATTTCCCCCTCTAAGTCCAGCCCACCTCTCCCCTCCCAGCCTTCCTCTCCCCTCGCACGTGCGTTGCACGCGATCGAGTCGAGAGAGAGCGCCGCTCTCTCCCTCTCTCTCTCTCGCTCGTTCTCCCTCTTCTCTCACCGTCGCCACCATTTGAACCCGCCACCGCCTTTGGTTCCCGCGCACGCGCCGGTCGTGGCCGACCGCCCGGTCGCCGCCACCGTCAGCGCCTGCGCCGCGCTGCCGCTCGGCCCTGCTGCCTGCCGTGAGCTCTGCAGCGCGTGCCCGAGCCGCTCCACGCGTGTCCTGCCAAAACCGTGAGGCCGAGCTCCCGCTCCCATCCCTCTCCCTCCCCAACTCGGCAAAGAGCAGAGCCCCCTTTTTTCCCCTCCTTTTCCACTTTTGCCCGACACCGCCGGCGTCATCACCTACCGCCGCCTTGGCTGCACGCGTCGACGACCGCCAGCTCGTCGCCCCTGCATCCCTTGACCGCCAATGTCGGTTTCCCTCCTCCAAACCGACCTCTCCCCCTCCGCTATAAAAACCCGAGCCCCCTCAGCGTCTCGACCTCCCACTCGTTTCCTCCCATCCTCGCCTCCCTCCGCCGTCGCGCGTGCTAGTGAAGCCGGCGTGCGCACGAGGAGCTGACGCGGACTCCGGCCACCCTTCTCCTTCCTCTTCCCCGGCCCGAGGCCTGAGAGCTCGCTCCCGCGCCGTCTGCCGCTCGTCACAGCGCCCGTCCCGGCTCGGTAGTGCCTTCTTCTGTTCCCCTTCATCGCTCTCTCTCGCCACCTCCAGCTCGCGTGGTAGCTCGGTAGCCCTCCCGAACGCGCATAGACGCCGCCCCGAGCCCCGCCGCCGCCCGGCACGGCCTCGCCGCCATTGCCGCTCGCTCCCGGAGGTCGCCGCTCGTCGCCGGCCCTCCTCGGTGCCTCTCCTCCCCATCCGGCGCCGGAAACGGATTCCCCGACCCCCATATATACTCCCACCGCCTTGAATTGAATCCTCGTCGCCCCTCCGCCCTTTCCCCCTTTTCTCGCCGCCGGCGTGCGCCGCCGCGATTCGTCGTCGCCGGCCTCCCTCTGGCGAATCCGATCCGGTGGATCACTTCCTCTCGTCCGTCCCATCGTTCCGGTGTACTCCCTCTCTCTCGAATCGTCGCGACGAGCTCCGGTGAACTTGGCCACCGTCCGCCGTCCATCTCGGCCTCCCCTTCTTCCTCCTCCCGCCGGCCCGCGTGGCTGCCACGTAGGTGCCATGTCGGCGCCACCTCGGCTTTGACCGGGCCAAGCCGGTCAGCCGCCTCCTCCCTCCGTCTTCCCTCCCGTGCGCGCGGTCCACGGCAAGCCGTGCGGCTGCACATGGGCCCGCCGCCAGCCGTCCACTCAGCGCGCCGCGCCGCGCCCGAACCACGCGCACCCGAAACCCTAGCGCCCGCCCCCGCGTGCGCCGCTTCCACCGTGCACTGCCTCACCGACAAGCGGGCCCGCTCGGGACCCTGCAAGGTGAGCCCGGTCCACCTGGCTTTCCTTCCCCCTCTCTCTCCCCGCGCCCCTCTCTTGGGCCGCCTCCCCGTAGCCCGCGCCAGCCCAATAAGCTCGGCCGAGCCGCGCAAATCCTCTCGGGCCAAGCCAAGCCGCTCGGGAAAGTCTGATTCCTATCCCTCCTTCCTTTTCTTATCCAAAGGGATTAATAAATCCTTTTCCCTTTTTCATAAATCAATTCCTTATTCCCAAAATTCCATGAATCATTTCCTTTGGTCCCGCACGTCAGTGACCGTCAATAATATTCTTGAGAATATTATTCCATAAACCATTTCTCGTGTTCTAGAAAAATCCAATAAATCATTTCCTTGTCCATAAATTCCAATTAAGCTTCCAAAATTCATATCTTCTCAACCGCTCATCCGATTGACTCTGTTCAACTTCCAGTAATTCCGTAAAATTGAGATCTATTTAATGGCACTATTAATTAGTCTAAATAGGATCTTTCTTTTGGTCTTTTGTTTAGGTTTTTGATTGTTTGTGTATAGTTGCGGTTACCGGATTTTTGTCGATCGTGGATTTCTCGAAGATTCGTGAAGCTCATTGAAGACCTTGAGCAAGGCAAGTCACCCTTTGATCAATTGCTCCTATAATTGGAAAATCATTATTATTATTTTGTTTGCAACTTGCATTATTAGAATCACACACTTAACTTGCTTGGCCTCGCTTTGCATGCCAAACCGACGGACCTACCCAGTAGTCGCACTACTTCCTGTAGGCCGACATACCCTGATCCCTTGTCGCTCCACCATTGTGGTACTTCGGTATTCGTGCTCTCTGAGTGCGTATACCAAATATCCCACATACACCGTTGATTGTCGAAATTTGGGAAATGGGTTTGAGAAGCCTTGAAAACCTGACATATGGTGTCGGTGTGTTTAAAAATAAAATGAATTGTGAAAACTCGCGATGCGGGGGTGGTGCCTGCGTGGCGCTGTCCCGTATTCGCATATAAGGACCGATTCCTGTGGGAAACTCATCGAGCATAATCAAAGTGCAACCACAAGGTGGAATGGGACACCCTGGCTAAGTAACTAGTCGGTTCAGGGAAATCTCGCATGCCAATAGTTGGGAACGCCGGTGCGGGGTCGGTTGGAGCCAAACCGGGTTCCTGGTAAGGCAAGAACACGAAGCTTGCCAGATTACCGATCGAGGTGGTTGGAGTTTGATTTGTGAAAACTAAAATGGCCTATATTTATGTGAGGATTTGATCCTTCTATGTGGCATGAGGTAACCCTGGGTCGGCTTGGGAAAGGCTTTGTTGCGAACCTCCGATACCGACGGGTGTTCAGAATAAGTTCGTATCTTGTGGGTAAAGTGTACTCCTCTGTAGAGGTTAACTAACTGTTCGAACAGCCGTGCCCACGGTCATGGGCGGATGTGAGGTGGTTCCCGTTGCGTAGAGTTGTTTGCCTGTGCTTTGTGAAAAGTTGTTGTGGTGTGGGTATCGTAACCAGAATCAGCCTATGTGGCAGATGGATGACCTGAGTGGTCAGAAACGAATCTGTGTGATTCGGGATGTCTGCGGGCATCATAGACTAGGCTTCCCGAGTGGAAGCGGATTGTTTTGCTGCTGGGCAGCTGGACTCTGGGAGTCCGAGAAAATGAATAAGGCTCTGGAAGCCGCTTAATCAAGTAAAATGGCTCTGGGAGCCGATAAGTAATGATCTGACCCGGGAGGTCGGTACATTACCATTTGAGTTGTTGAAAAGCATCTCTTAAGTCGAATCGAGACACAAGTCTCTTTTCGGCCCAAACTTAAAAAAAGAAAGAAATCACTTAGTGGTTTCAAAATGGATTTCAAACAAAAGATTTGCAAAACAACTTTGCCTCTCTTCCAAGCTTGCATTAAACACCTAAATTCCCGTGACTTGCTGAGTACGAAAGTACTCACCCTTGCTCTATATAAATATATATAGTTCCTCCGCCTTGAAGTAAAGATGAAGTGAAGTGAAGAATAGGGTTTCGTCCTGGTTCCCAGCCGTCGCCTGTGGTGTTGGGTGTTAGTCCGTTGGTTCCGCTGCTGCTGCTGTTGTTGGTGTTTCCTCGTTCGCATCGTCGGTTGTATTCTCGGGCTGTTCTGAGCTGCAACCTAAGTTAAGGTAAATAAGTCCTTTATTTATTTTAAGGATTGCAATGATTCATATTTGTCACCGTGGGTACCAGCGCTATGTCCTGGGACTGGTACCGAGATCGCGGTTCGTAGGAAGCGGTTCGCGCCGTTTTTCCTACGACACGCTCCTGTCAGGTGCCGTTGTACGGCGGTACCGGATTGGGGTGTGACAAGTCGGCAGCTAGGTCTTCTGCTTCGGTTGCCTTTTGGCGTTCCTAGTGGTGGCCTGTAGCGATGGCACTTGGGTCTTCTTCTCCGGCTCCTTGTCGGCAGTCCTATCAGGGACAACCCCCTGATGTGGTGGCAATGGCGGCTTCTACTCCTGCGTCTGCCTGCTTTGAGGATCCACTCCCCTGTGCTCAATCATGCGGTTATTGGGAAGACCTCCGCTTCCACAACCTCCTTCGTCGATCCAGCAAGACAGAAGTTTCATCGCCACCATCCAATTCATGTGATGTTGGTTGATTGGGTTGTGGAACCGACTTTCTTCTGGCTTCTTGGCAACAGTAACCATGAAGGGCTTGTCATTCGGGTTGAGCTTAGATCTTCTGTTCAACTCTGGTTGGAAGGTTTGTAGTCAGAGCTCCTCAGATTCAATGGCGAGCTCCGTGGAAATCATTTGCTGAGTCCAGTGTCGCTTACCCCAAAATCTACGGCTTAACAGCAACCCTCTATTTTGTAATGTTTCCATGGAAGCAGACGCAGGGGTTTACAGGTTTGTAAAGCGGTGTGCACGTCAAAAGAAGCTCCAGGATGTAGTCATCGCGGCAATGCTGCCGCTCCCTGTCGATCTACTCCTCTCTTGCTGCTCGGTTTTCTTAGGAAGTTTGTTTCCTATACTCAGTTAGCCTATCTGTTGTTAATGATGGTTTAGTGTTTTCAGATTATCTGTTTGGCGATGTACTGGGATTTATTCCCTTGAACTTTGTGTTTATGAAAAAAAGTTTATGAGTTTAGAAAAAAAGCAATAAAAGTGAACCATTTTTAATAGTTTAGGGGTAAATTTAGCCAAAAAATAATTTAGGGGGTTAAATGAACCAATGAAATAGTTTAGGAAAGTAATTTTTTTTTCTTTTCCATTTGTGAAGGCGTCGTCTCCTTCTCTTTATCCGTTCTAGACCTCAGCTCGATCTTTGCCGGCATTTTTCGTAAATGAAGAGGTTGGAAACCTGCAAACAATTGGCTTTGATTGGGCTATGGCTTTTATATAGGGGGGCTTTTAACTATTTGCTACATATGTGTCCTGGCGCTCCATGGCGACCATATATGATTGCCCGTGCGGAAGTGGAGCAATTTTTTCATTTTTTTTCTTGTGACACAGGAATACAAATACATGAGATAATTAAACACATGATGAGTCTTTTCAACAAGAAAAAGCACAGAAAAAAGAAAAATCGTGCATGGGATCGTGTACCATACGACCATACCACGATCCACACCAAACTTGGACTCAAATTAATCAAGAAAAACTGCTCGTAGATGGAGTATTACGGACGGAACACGTACGTACGTACGGGTAAACAAAACGCTTGCACAAGATCGTCGACTACTATATATCACCGTTCACCGAACACGTACACGCTTCTGACAAACAATTGGCCACGGCGACCACTGTGGTATCTCCGACACAATTAAGTCTTTGTCAACGGCGACCTAGGCTTGAGGCATCATCGATCTCGGCCGATGAGCTCCCCACGAACGCCGGCTCCACACGAGGCACAACGACGACCGGCCGCGGCACGGGCTTGGCAACGATCTGCACGACCATCTCCATGCTTGGCCGGTCTGAAGCGCTGTGGCTGGTGCACGATAAGCCAAGGAGAAGTAGCCGTTCTGCGTCGTCGGCATCGTACTGGAGACCTTCCTCCGTGGTGAGGCTGCCGTCCACGGCTTCCAGCAGCTTGCCGTTATTGTGGAATTCATCCCGTACCCAGTTAGCGATCAGCACTGAGTCACTGGGCCGGGAGTGATCGAGTGCCTTCCTACCGGTGACGATCTCAAGGACGAGGGCTCCAAACGCGTACACGTCGGTCCGCCGCGTCGCCACCCGATTCTGCGCGTACTCCGGCGCTATGAAACCCCTGGTGCCGGCGAGCTCCATTGAAGCGGAGCTCCTGCCACCGGAGATGACGCGGGCAAGGCCGAAGTCTCCGAGGCAGGCACGGAATTCTTGGTCGAGCAGGATGTTGCTGGACTTGATGTCCTCTAGCTCGTGGTGGATGTAGTGGAGTCCCGCGGCGACGTCCCTGACGATGCTGTAGCGTGTCGGCCATGGTAGCACCTGCTGCTGGCGGCTGTGGTTGCCGAACAGGTGATTGTCGAGGCTACCGTTGTGCTTGTACTCGTACACCAGCAAAAGCGCTCGTTTCTCCAAGCACCAACCAATAAGTTGCACGATATTGTTGTGCTTCAACCGGATTATAACTTGAATCTCCACAAGAAAATCGGTGAAACGACGCTGCTGGTTTTCGTCCCGATCGAACTTCTTCACAGCTACTTGCTGCTGCCGCTGTTCTTGCGTCCGCCCATTTCTCTGAGTTGTGAGCGTCCCCATGTAGACGACTCCGAACGAACCTCGTCCGAGTCTCCTCGCGTCAGTGAAGTTACCAGTCGCGTTCCTTATCTCCGAGTACTTAAGCTTCCTGGCGAGTTGGCTCAGCACCTCATCTAAAAGCTGCTTTGCATCGGAGTTCTTCTTGCTCTGAAACACAAGGATCACAATCAGAGAAACAGAGAAGAATGAGAAGACCACGATCACTGTCGTGAATCCGGTCTCGAATGGTTTGTTTTTGCTCTTGCTCGCAGCGATGCCCGAGTCCGGGACTCTGTCCACGGTGATGTTCCAGCTCAACAAGCCGTATGTCTCGCCATCGGAGCCGGAGGCAAAGAAACCGATGTACGCCTTGTTGGGGACACGGTTGCTCATGGTGAGGTGCCCGGCAAAGATGGCCTTTGATGGTTTCAGTTGCCCGTCGTTGGCCATGTACGCAGAAATCTTGTGCCCGATGCCGTCGTAGTCGATCCACACCGTGTAGTTCACGGCTGTGCTTGTCGACTTGTTACTGTTGTTGTTGTAGTCCGACATGATGCTTGCAAGATCAAGGGACAAGCTATGATTATTGGAGGTGGTGGTGATGGTGTAGTTTGCGGTGTTCAACGCCCGCGGTAAGGCGCCATCGGCGGCGTTGAGGGTGGGGACGACGACGAACGCCAGGCTGCCCACGGGCCGCCGGTCCGAGATGAGATGATCATGAACCTTAGAGTGGTGGTGAAGGACGCCTCGTTCTTCGTCATCATGTCGCCGGAGACGACGTGGCGCCAGAGCTCCATCCGGAAGGGGAGGAGGACGGAACCGGATGACGGGAGGACGGAGCCGGATGACGACGAGGTGTTGCTTGTAGGGAGGCGCGCGGAGGACGTCGCGCCATATCTCCGCGTTCTTGAGGACGAGCAGCGACTGGTGCTCGTCGATGCCATCGAAAGTCGGGATGCTGATGCTGTCCGAGCCACTCCCGTCTTTCTCCAAGCTTGTGCAAGCTTCCAGGCCAGTGCATGCGTTGGACGAGGAGATTGAGCATAACATCACAAAGAAGAATGTAACAAGGAAAATTGGAAATATGGGTAGGACATGATGTGCCATCTTCTAGTGGATAATTAGTTGGAACTTTGGAGGTGCCTGTACGTCTATTACATATGCTTGGTTGCTCCACTGCTAGACTTGGTACCGCCATTTATACATATTTAGGGCATGCGACATATGCATTGTAATTTCTAAGGTCGTTGATATATAGATAATCATCAGATAGCTTTAGTTCCTTTTGTTAGTCGTCATATAAAATAGAATAGAAAGATGGAGGTTGGGAATTCAGTTGGAACCACGCAAGCATGTATATGGCTTTTGGGGTCTGTTATCATAGTCAATTAGTCATAACCAATGTTAATTGATTTTATGATGATGTTTTTGATAGGAACAGTTCGTGATGGTGGAGATTTGGTAGGTCTGGACAGGAGACCAATTCTCCAAATCGATCAGTCTGCTTTAATTTCTTGACTCCAAGTCGTTCTTGTAAATATACCTTGCATGTTAATGTAACTTTCTATGTTGTTATGTTTCTTACACAGGCCATGTTTGTCATTTATCATAAAATATTATGCACCCCTTTCTCCATGATTATCCTAGTCTTGCTTGGAATTTCTATGAACGTAACTTCGTTTAACTCGTGATGAGTTAGTCCTATATACTCCGTATTATTTAAGATTTGTAGAAGTGAACTGCCACACCTTTTTCGACGCGGTAGATGAAATCATCTTTGCTCCGATCCATGATGTCATGTATCATGCATACAACAGTTTAGTTGCCACGATCACAGTACTTGATTAAAATCTTGCGTTTCCAGATGGGTATATATAGCGCTCATTCACTTTCGAAAGAACCAACTTTTCATATGTTATTCAATCTGTTAGTTGAGGTGGAGTGCGCGCGTTAGGCGCTTTGAGGATGTAAAGAAACTCAATTCTATCTCCAATCTAAAAAATGTTTTTAAATGACATGCAATTTACACTCCCATAGCTAATACTCCTTTAATGTATGACGCCGTTGACTTTTTTATAAAATTTTGACCATTTGTCTTATTCAAAAAATTTATGTAATTATCATTTATTTTATTGTGACTTAATTTATCATCAAATGTTCTTTAAGCATGACATAAATATTTTTATATTTGTAAAAAAAATTGAATAAGACGAATAGTCAAACGTTGGTTGAAAAGTCAATGGCGCCATACATGAAAATACGGAGGGAGTACTAGATAAAACTCTTCGCGTTGGTGGTGCGGCGGATGGATGAAGGAGACGAGACGGGTGCTCGATCAATTCCTTGGACTGCAACGTACGCCCAGCTGACATCCAACAATGCCTGATGGCAGGAGACTGGGCGCGGCGGTGAAGATGTGAGCTGCTCGGTGGTGACGAAACGTACCCATTCTTTGATTCTTTTTCTTTTTTTCTCTCTTCTGCAATACATTCACTTTTTTTTTTTTGCGAATTTCTTCTATTGGTGGTATCCTCATCACCATTCGCCTCGGAACCGGTGCTGCAGATTTCTGGTGCAAGCCAAGCGATGGGAGGAGGGCGGCGGTGGAGTGGGCTTTCTCGCAGACCTCCATCCATCCTCGCACGCGCCGGGGGAGACGAAGAGCGGCATGTGGTGGCGAGCGGCCGTATTTCCTCCTCCGCTTGTGTTTGTGTGTGGTGGTACTGCTTGTGGTGACCATAGCTGCAGCAGCAGCACGAACAGCTACGATGGCACCGTACGTGAAGCAAGGCGGGGGTGTGTGGTGCACCAACGGACATCAGCGAGGTGTACCGACCGGACTACGGCCACGCGGGCGCCGAGGTGTTCGATTCTGGGATGTTCGACACAGTGTGTTCGATCGGCCAGTTCCCGGCGCTGGACAGCTTCGCCGCCCAGGAGTTCGATTCTTGTAGTCCTCGTCGTCGGAGGTTACAGACTTACAGCTTCGCGCGCCGCTACTCGCTGCTTTCCCGCCGGAGAGAGAGGATAGTGATAAGAGGGAAGAGAGAGGAACGAGAGAAAAGGGGAGTAGCGAGGATAGATGACATGTGAGGCCACATGGGCCCCATCATTTATTATTATTTTTTTAATACTGACATATGGGTTCGCATGTTTTATTATTATTTTTATCAAATTACCACGTAAGCGCCACGTCAATCCTATGTAGGACGAAGACCTGGTCGAAACTGCCGCGTTGGTGCCACGCCAGTCAAAACCAGAGACAATACTGCTGAGGGACCTCGTTTGCATGATTTTACATTATAAGTTAGGGATGCGTTTTATCTAGTTATGTTGTACATGGATGAATTTTGAACTCGGCGATAAATTGAGGGACCTAAAGTGAACTTATTCCCAATGAAATATGGGTCATGACCCAACGAACCATTAGCCACAGCTTAATTTGTAAACAGATCATATCTTACTGTAAAGTGTTATAATCCACTTGTGTAGCGGTCATCACAATAGTGATGCCGAGTTGATGCAGTTGTTGTCCTCGTAGATGATGTGATCGATGCCGTCGTCAGTGGCGCGGTCGTTGTCGTCGTAGAGGATGCGGTCGATGTCTTCGAGTAAGCGTCTTGCAGATTAATCTGTCAGAGGACGCGAGGTGTCCATCTATGTGGACGAGTCGGCGGCGGCGTGTGTTCCCATGTTGATGAAGACCATCGGCGATGTTGTGTCGGCGAAAACGATCGTTTCGATGATGTAGTTGTACAAATAATGAAGACGTATTAATCTGCTTAATTCCCAGACGCGAGATTGATCTCTGCTCTCCTTGGTTCAACCTTTGGTGGCCTTCTCTGTGATCTTGGGCATGATGGCGGCAAAGACCGCATGCGTCGGCGGTGGTGTTGGATTGGCTTGTCGTCGTGGCGCTTCTTTCTTTCAATCTTTACATTCATGTGCATGTTTACAGAACACACATCAATGCATGCATGTGTGCTGCTCCTCAATTGAGTGCCTGCGTGCAGTGGTACTAGATAGCTGGATGGTCTTATGTTGTTGCCGTCGCTCGGGCTTCACGGCGACTTGGACGGTGGTGCCGTATGCCCACGGCCACGGCCTCGCCTAGCTTATGCTTGATGATGCTGGTGAGCGACGATGGAAATCGTCGTAGTGTTGGCTCCTGAGATCGCAGGGTTCGATGTGGCTAAAAATAAATTGATCTAATGTTAATATTGGTAAAATCTAATCTATGAATTATTTGTGGCTAATTGATGCGGCACCCCAGGGAGATTATGGAGATGTCATCTCCCCAGGGCCACACGGGGATCGAACGATGTTGGTCTCTAAGGCTATGATACCATGAAGAAAAATCTAATTGTTGTATTCTGATGTTTTTGTGATCTATTAGATCGATCCTCTCATAGGATATATATAGGAGTACAGATAGTAACTTGGATTACAATAAGTAATAGTAAATTTATCTCTAAGATTCTATCTCTGTGATATATCTTATCTCTATATTTGTATTTGACTCTTATCTCTAACTAACATATTTGTACTTCTAACACTTCTGCCAATACCACAGTCCTGAGTATGCTTAGGCCGTGTTCGGGAGTGAGGGTTAGGCCTAGCATGTAAAACGAAGTACCATTTAGCGTGTGATTAATTAAGTATTAGCTATTTTTTTGAGAAAAATGGATCAATATGATTTTGAAGCAACTTTCGTATAGAAACTTTTTGCAAAATACACACACCGTTTATCAGTGTGAAAAGCGTGCGCGTGAAAAACGAGAAGGGGAGCTGGGAACGAGGAGGGGGAGTTGCGTGTATAATAAAATTCAAGGCAGCATCCCAGTTGAGTTTGCAAGGTTGCCAGGTACGCAGTACCTGCTCTACATGAGTGTCCTCAAGGCTTTTAACAGAAATTTAGTGAGATAAGATATATGCTGCTGATTTTTGTCTTTTTAAGCATGTGCTAGAGAATATATTCACATGTGTGAAAGCATGGTGTTGCGTACGTAGTGTGTGCACGCGTCCCGTGTAATCGGAAAAAAACAAACAAACTCATGTAGGTTTCCACAAGCCATTTCTATTCCTGCTGGTCTCGAGGAGGCACGGAAGGCCTAGGTCAATTAAGCTTCCACTGCTAGCTCTGTCACAGCCAGCACGCCTCGCATGTTTTGTTCATGTGGTGTTCCAGGTGTAAATGTGAGAAGCAAGTTGATTGACTAGAGTGAATGCAAGTGTGTATAAATACTTAATTTTGTGTGTGAATGTGATTCCTATGCAACATCACCGTCTGTTCATGTTAGTGCAACTGTTGGTGTGTGGGTGTGTTGACGCTGTCGGTGTATGGGTGGTGGTATATTTTTTTTCCTGGTTACGACAAGGGTTATTTCGCTGGTGTGTACATATGTAAAAATAAAAGGCTATCTTCAGACTTAGACACTACTTAAAAAAAGATTTTTCCAGGCGGCCCAAAACCATTTTCGCAGGCGGGGGAGAGGACCGCCGCTACCATCTCGACTGTGAAAATGGACAGGCCCGCCTGCGAAAATCATCTCAGGAAAATAAAAAAAAACCACGGGGCGCCGCCGGCCAGGGCTCCGCTCCGTCCGTTGCCGTCGGCGCCGTCGTCGTCGTCGTCGAAGCGGCCGGCGGAGGCGGTGAGGAGAGAAGCCGGCGGCACGTGTCGTCGTTCGTCGTGGCCGGCGGCGGAGGGATGCGGCAGCGCGCGGACGTCGTCGTGGAGGGAGCCGGCGGCGCGGACGTGGGAGAGGAGGGAGCCGGCGGCGCGCGGATCTGGAGAGGAGGGAGCCGTCGGCGGCGTCGTGGTCGTGGTCGTCGTCGAGGAGGGAGGCCGCCGGCGGCGAGGAGGGATGTGGCGGCTCGCGGACATTGTCGTGGAGGGCACCGGCGGTGTTGACGTGGGAGAGGAGGGAGCCAGCGGCGCGCGGATCTGGAGCGGAGGGAGCCATCGGCGGCGTCGCGGTCGTCGAGTGAGAGAGGGCGCCGGCGGCGAGGAGGGATGCGGCGGCGCGCGGACGTCGTTGGGAGTGGACGCGGCGGCGCGGACGTTGGAGAGGAGGGAGCCGGCGGCGCGCGGATCTGGAGCGGAGGGAGCCATCGGCGGCGTCGCGGTCGTCGTCGTCGTGGAGGGAGGCCGCCGGCAGAGAGGAGGGAGGCGGCGGCTCGCGGACGTGGGAGAGGAGGGAGCCGGGCGATTTTTCCAAGTGTGGGGGAGAGAGAGAGAGGAGGGGGAGGGAAATGAGTGGTGGAGAGGAGAGCTAGGATAAGGATGGGGATGAAGATGAGGATGACTAGATTTTTTTTGGTAGGTACTATTTTTTTTAGACGGACCACGTAAGGTGCGCCTGCAAAATTCTATTTTCGCAAGCGGACAACGAACTTCATACCGATTTATATTTTTTTAGGCGGTTATTTGGCTCCAAGAGTCATGTCCGACTGTAAAAATAAAACCCCCACGTCGGAGAAAATGTTTTTTCTAATAGTGAAACTTGCATGCAGTAATCAGACAGACAGACATAAATTTTTCCTGCTACTTGCACGTTAAAAAGTACAACTTGAGTTTCTACTTGTGCATACTTAGCCGTTTCATATAAACCGAGGCAGTGTGAACTAAATTGTTTGGTACGTTGGAGTTAGTGGTCGTCATAGTTACACGTACGTGAGAGTGAGATGCAACTTATCCAGCGAATATTCATAGAGTTCAATAGATAACTCCGGTTATTCTGGTAGTTGAGCTCACTGCTACCAACCAGCCCATCGCTATCATATCGGTTCCAAACTGCAGCGCCGGTTTTAGAACCAACACTATGATTGACACTGATGAGAGGCCCTCATAAGTGCCAAATTTGATGAGTTTGCCCGATTTGAAAGAAACGGAGGTTGCCAAATTTTTCTATCATTTGATTCATTATATATTTAACAATATATAATGAATCAAATGTAGAAAAATAATTAATAATCACTTAAATTTTTTGAATGGGACGAACGGTTAAATATGTTTAAAAAATTTAAAGGTGTCAAATATTTAGGGGGCGGAGGGAGTATATAGATGTCAATTTTACTAAACGGTTTTTAATTGAGAGATATCAATTTCCTTTTTTTAAAAAAAATATGGTATCTCCGTTAACTTCTCGAGAATTGTAAAATCACTTGATTAAAAAGGACAACTGGGGAAGACTTGCTGGTCAGCAATTGGACCGGGACCGGCGTTGGTAGGAGTACATGTGCAGGCAGTTTAGGGCTTCGATCCTGTCCTGTCCCCTCGACGGGCTTATTACTACTAATTAATTTACTACTCCATTTACATGTGTACACGACGTACTCCGTGCTCTCTCCGTCCTAAAAAAACTCAACCTAGACAAGAATATGACATCTATTAGTACAATAAATTTAGACAGCCCTTTGTCTAGATTTATTGTACTAGAAAATGTCACATTCTATCCTAGGTTTAGTTTTTTTGGACGGAGGGAGTATATATATATATATATATATATATAGTAAATTTGTTTGGTGCTCCATGGTGCCCGGGCACCATTGTTGAAATTGAGTATATACCTAATTCAAATGAGTATGAAACTTTTTCAATTACTTAGATATTAACATTAGCTACTTTACTAACTAGTTCAAAGCAAGTTTGAACTGAATTTGAACTTGTTTTTGTTAGATTTTGATTCTAGGTATATAGCATCCATACATATAATTAGTTAGGTATGTAATCATGGATTGTGAAATAAAGTTAAATTTGAGTTGTTTTGTTGATAGGTATAGGTATGAATCGAGTTATTATAACTAGGTATATACTCACAATTTGAAAATTTTGAAAAATTTGAGTGATTTTGTGTATTTGATACCATGGTGCCCGGGCACCATGGTGCCCCATATGAGTGTCCTATATATATATATATATATATATATATATATATATATATGTAAGTACCACCATTATTTGTACATTTAATTTACTCCGCATTAGCAGTGTAATATTAGAAAGTTAGCTATTAATTAGATGCCTAGCTAGGTAGCCTAGCCTTGCATTGTGTATTAGATCCATGGTTTGTCCAAATATGTTGTTGAGGTTGCTGTTCCTCGTCTGCTGCTCGTCGTCGTTGGCGGCATCAGCAGCAGCAGCGTCGTCGTCGTCTGGATCTGCATGCAGCTGTAGCAGCAGCAGCGACGAGACGAGCTACAGCTTCCCCTCCACGCGTATCGAGGACACCTTGGCGCTGCTCGACGACGCAGAAATCAGCAGCAACAATGGCAGCACCATCCTCCACCTCACGCCGGCGGCCTCCTCGAACAAGTCCGGCACCGCCCTCCTTCCAACTCCGGTCACGCTATGGCGGCGCCTCGACTACCAGACGACGGCGGCTCAGCCGGGGAGCTATTCCAAGCAGGATGCGTCCCTGAATACCTCCTTCACCATGAGAGTCCAGTATGCGAATGCGAAGTATTCGCCGGCCGACGACGCAGCAGCGGCAGCAGCAGGGCTCAACAACGGCCTCGCGTTCGTCATCGTCCCCACCATCAACGGCCCGCCACCACCGGGCAGCGCCGCCGCCTTCGCTGTCGAGTTCGAAACCGGCGACAACCGCAGCATCACCGTCAGCATCACAACCGGCGGCAACATCATCGCCGCTGCAACGGCCACAACGACGACGACGAACCAGACGAACAGCTACTACGCGGTGTGGATCGACTACAACGGTGAGAAGCACCGTTTGCTGATATACATAGATTTGCAGGACCGACCAAAACCGCAGAAGCCCTGCCTCGACGTGCCCCTCAACCTCAGCAGCGTCGTCCCCGACCGAGCTTTCATCGGATTCTCGGCGACGACGACGACGACGACGACAGGAGGATCATCATCCGCCATGGATGAGCTGCTCCTCCATCGTTATTCCATCTTGAGCTGGAGCCTGACAGTGAAACTACCTCCTTCTCCACACGGCCTAGACTTCGAGTGGAAGGTGATACTTCCCGCGGTGGTTGGCACCGTCGCCATTACCGCCATCATGAACGTCATAGTGGCCGCCCAGTACCTCAACTCCAAGTACAACAAGCTCAAGATGGAGCTCGTCCTCACGGAGGCGCTCCGGCGACTCCCCGGCACGCCGAGGGAGTTCAAGCACGCCGCCATACGGAAGGCCACCAACAACTTCGACGAGGGGAGGAAGCTCGGGAATGGCGGCTTCGGCGCCGTGTACAGGGGCACGATACGGTCGTCGTCGTCGTCGGCCGGGAAGAACAAGGCCACCACCGCCGCCGCCGCCGCCGTGTCGTCGTCGTCGGTGGAGGTTGCGGTGAAGAGGTTCACCCGCGACGAGAACCGGTGCTACGACGACTTCCTCGCCGAGGTCGACATCATCAACAGGCTGCGCCACCGGAACGTGGTGCCACTTGTCGGTAACCATCTCATCTTCTCATCTTCTTCATTTCATTCAACAACCTATAATTCATGCACCATTGTCTTCCGATCCGGTCAAAAACAAGGGGGAAATTAATTCACTGTTCCTTATGGTCAATTACATGCTACTAGACTAGTCAAATCTAGGGAGTAATTTTGTGGAGCAGAATTATACAGGGTTTGCATGCATATGCATATCCCCTGACCTTGAAACTTGACAGGGTCAGTAGTCTCACTTTCATGCATCGCCAGACGACAGCTAATTAACATGCATACATGCTTGTCTCCCTCAGGGGCAATTTTCATGGATTCAAAACCTGCACGTTATTACAGTCAAGCTCTCTCTAGATAAGATGCATGAGACAGTTACGTTTATTCTCGCAATAGGGAAGATCCTTAATGTCAAATGGTCATAGTCATATATCCCGGATAATCCTTAACAATTGAAAAGAGACGTGAATAAAATTTAAAAATATCCAAATGGGAGTAAAAATTTGTGCACATATGTATATTTTAAATATACTGGGCAAATTTTTAATTAGTTATATGAGTCTCCCTTATAATTCAATAGTTCATAGCAAAAGAAAAGCAGCTGATAGATCTGACATTGACTTTTTCATGCATTGACGTACTCCTCCCGTCCCTAGATATTTGATACCGTTGATTTTTTTAAACATGTTTAACCGTTCGTCTTATTCAAAAACTTTTGTAAAATATGTAAAATTATATGTATACATAAAAGTATATTTAACAATTAATCAAATGATAGGAAAAAAAATTAATAATCACTTAATTTTTTTTAATAAGACGAACGGTCAAACATGTTTTTAAAAGTCAGCGACGTCAAATATTTAGGAACGGAGGGAGTAATTGTTAAATGAAATTGAAAATTAAATCATAATCAACTTGGTATCCTATGCAAATGTGATGGATATATCAAATCATCATGTTTAGAGAAACGTTAGTTGGTCAGAATATCAGACTAAACCGAGGAAATCCCAACTAAACCGATGTAAAACTAAACAATATATGATCGTAAGTATAGATGATATACTAGATAGGCAATGCGTACTTCAACACGATTAGAATATTGGTCATTCAGACCGAACCAATGAAGTCCTAGCCACGCCGATGCAAGCGAAGATAACAGAACTTACTTATCGCTAGAGGTTAGACATAACTGATGCAGCCCATACTCGAAACAATGAACTCGCCGGAAGTATAGTAGGGAGGTGATGCACCGAAAGTTGTATTGATCGAGAGATCCTTTACAATGATCTTTACAATGATCATGGGTATACTAGTCCTTATTCGACACACTATACACTTTCTTGAAGATAAAATAAAAGGTACAAGTCCTGATCGGACTCTAAATAATCTTTTCTAAAAATAAAAAGAAAACTAGTTGACTCTGCCTAATTAATAGATAAATTGATATGCCGCATCCTTCTTGAACTCTGCCTCTTCTGGATAAGCTTTCTTAAGTTGATTAATTAACTTAACCAAATCTACTAAAAATCCTAGTAAAAAAAATCTACTAAAAATCTGACTACTGGCAACTGATAATTTCCATCGGCCAAATCTAGTACTCTGAGGCCGATACATGCTCTAGGCCGATGACGACTTTGGGGCTTACTAAATTTTAGCGTTAACACATGGGTGTAACATTTATATGATGGATATACATATCATAAATTTGAAATATAATTGCAGAACTAAAAAAATGAGGTATTAAAATCAAAATGGTCAATAGTGTGGTTTTGTGAAATTTATGGCTATAATAAGGGGTGAAAACGGGCGGATACGGATGGAATATGGCATTCCTATATCCTAACCCATATTTTCCTTTAAATTCCGAGTCGGGTACGGTTAGTGCCGGATAAGATATCACTCATCCCATATCCTATCCCAAATTATCTCCTTCGGATCGGATTCAGAAACGGATATCTATTGTATCTCTAACTCATAGATATTAAATATAATAAGGTAACTAAAGTATTAAAAGAGATACGTCAATAGAAAAATTATACAATATTATATGTGAGCTCGTAAAATATTGATTAACCAATCTTTTATCATGTTTGTAGGTTGATTTATAATAGATTTTTATACATATTTTATAATATGGGACATACGGGCAGATACATGTGTTCTCGTATCCTAACACATATTTTAACACATATTTTCTAACGAATTCGGATTCAAACTCGGATAATATCGGGTATCCCATTTTTTTCTCCCATATTCCTCCCGCGAGTCTCGGGTCAGGCGGGCGGTCGGAAATACCCGCCCCACTTTCACCCCTAATAATAACCGGGGTTATGTGCCACGTGCCAAAATTCCCGTGGTTTTGTGCAACTTAGACTATAATACTTGTGGTTAGGTGAAATTTATTTTTAGACCATTGAATATCATGGTAGCAATCTATAATTTCACCGGAAATAAAAATTGTGTTACTGCCTATCGTCATTATTCTTGTAAATTCTATTGTTTTATTCACCATTTGCTGATTAGGGCCTTCCTTCTCATATTTTTAACTCTTAATTATCATCTGAGAATTTATTTTACTTAACATTAAGTGCCATATATAGGGCAAATTAATTGAGAAGTACGCTAAATATAAAGTCTACTAGAGTCTTTTGCCACGATTATTTGGTCTACTCTAACACACTAAAATTAGGACATATTGACCTCATTGCATCAAAGTAATAGGACAGATAGTTTTGTGTAAAATGTCATCTGTTGTTAAAGACTCGGTATACATATAATTTATTTAGAGTTCAGCGGAATATATATACGTGATATGATCGATATTAATTTACTTCTGATATTTCGTACTTCAAATGTTACTTTTCAATTCTAAATTAACAAAGTTAGCAATGCTTTGTCATACACAACATATATGATTGAAAAATTATTTAATATTAATTTATATATATGGCTTAATTATATACACTAAAATAGTATTAGTTACTATCATTTCATAATTCATATATATGCATGTTAGACCAACACAACGGGGTGTAGAATCGTTTAGTCGTTTCTGTCCTTTACCCATCGTCAGAGAGGTAATTTTCAGGGATGAGAAAAACTTACAGGGTATACATCAGTCAAAATATCTTAGTCAATTCTTCGATTCCATAAGAAATCTAGTCCATTCCTCTAAAAGATAAGATGAGCCAAGACTTTGTAAGATGTAACCTTGCCATTACTACCCATTAGTTGTTAATTCTTCTAAATTAAGTAACCCCTAATTCTTAGTTAACATAATGCAAATTGGCTTTTATACAAGTAACACGACAAACAAAATAGATACCCGCTGTTAATTTTCCTTAGTGCGTGCATCTATAAAATTCTTCTTGAAAATTTCTCATAAACCATTACCTTATTTTTGGAAATAAATTAATAAAATCCATTTATTTGTTATAATGAACCAAACATTTTCTTTTTTCAGAATGCTGTGTAGAGTTCAAACTAACACTACTTTGACTATTGTGTTTCTCTTATATACTCCATCATATAATTGTTCGTGCTTTTTTCCAGTAAATACGGACTTACCTACAGATTCCTAGTGTTAACGGAGTCGCAACCACCTCGATTTAGAAAACTCTAAACCAAGATAAGTTTTTAAAATAACCAAACCGGCTAGCGGAGCTGATTTAGATATCAAAACAACCCTCTAGGCCGATTTAAATCGATTTGAATATAATCACTCGTCTCATTGTAAATTAAAGGTTTACAGGATAAACCTAGGATATCGCACTCTTGTAGCGAAGGCGAACGATTTACGGCCCAAATCGACAAAGACAGACGAATTAGGGTAAAGTAGAAAACATGACTAAAAAAAGTAAAGGTAAAAGAACGATTAGATAGATTCTAGGAATTATGGTCGACATTAGGATTGAAACGTCCATAGTTCTTATAAAGGGGTTGGTCTTTTCTCTACAAGCATTCTCTATATGCCCTATTAGACTTAGAGATCAGTTAGGATTCAAGATTCAAGAAGTCTCGAGCCCAAGCAAGGAAGCACGAGAATTGCCTTAATTGGACCCGGACTCAGCCTCTGTCGATTTGACTGGCCACATGCCGCCGGTCAGACCAGGCCCACAACGTTTGTCAGACTATGGAACTCCTCTCGTGGGGAAGTGAGCGCTCCCGCCTTAGGAGAGTCAGCTAGGGACGGGTTTCAAGTGATTATATAGGTTCGGGCCATATGGGCGCGTAATACCCTACTATTGTGTGTGGATTATGGGTGATCGAAAAGAGTTACAGCGCGTGGAGTGTGAAAAAAACAAGGAAGGATGCTAGCTTAGTTGGAATCAGAACCCTTTTCCCAATGGCATGGATTATCCTTTTATACATCAAGGGAAGTCCACAACACCAATACACACATGTGGAAATGGGATCTACTCCATTAAATTTGTCATGGTTGATATTATGTCTCTCAATCCAGTCGGAGGAGAATGTTTCAACTATTGGTTGTTGGAGGGAGAGCGCCAATATTCAAAAAGGTGCACCTGCCCCTACTGCTTGTGAGCATGACTGGGTGACGTGTGGGACAGACATCCCCACGCTCCCACGTGTTGACGGGAGGTGTATAAGACGTGTGCTACACTACCATTAATGTAAGGGAGTGGTTGAAAACAAACCTATGCTCTTGTCAGCTTTTCCTCAAAGTGATTGCGCTCCTCCAAGGCTAGCTGGGGCAGGAGGCATCCTCAGGCCTTCGCCCGAGGCATGAAGAGTGCTCGAGCCCCTGCTCCCGACCCGAAGGCAATTGGGCCTTTCCTCTGGATGATCATTGTGCCCGGACAACCTGTGTACCCGTATGTGGCACCACATCGACTCGGGGCATCCCTGAGCACTCGGATCACCATCACTGATAGGTACAGATAGTTCGTTGAATTTGGACGAGCTTCTCGAAGATGTCGAGGATGAAGGCATTCATGACGGCATACTTTGGAAGGGAAGCCCTTGTTCGCGTGTACTTGTCTAAGTACCTTGAAGATGTGTATATCTTATACTCTACTTTCTTAATAACCGTGTCCAACTCTAAAACTTTTCCAACATTTACTTTTTTTCACCTACCTTCACTACTCATCCAATCACAACCTTCCACCATCCATTTCTACCTACTTTCTTAATAACCGTGTCCAACTCTAAAACTTCTTATATTATAGGACGGAGGGAGTAATTATTTACGATAGATATATGTAAACCAGCTGATGAACACATTCGATCGATCTAGGCCATGGGATAGAACATTGACGATCGATATTGCTTAGATGTCCCATTTCTCCGACACCGTCGTTCTTACCGGCTCTATGGCGGCAGGCCTTCTCCAAATCTGACCGCGCGTTTTTCTTTTTTTTTTTATTTTATGTGTCAAACTTGGGTGTTAAAAATAATGATTATGTTATTTTTTGCAAATATATTATGGAAATTGCACAAGGGCAAGTTTTGATTAAATATTTCTATAGGATGGTCTTATGAGAAGGGAGAACTTCTGCTGATATACGAGTACATGCCCAACGGCAGCCTCGACCGGCAACTGTTCCCCAAGGAAAAACCCGGAAGAATCCTCGGATGGACGACGCGCTACGGCATCGTGACGGACATAGCCGCGGGTCTCCACTACGTCCACCACGAGCACGAGCACATGGTGCTCCACCGCGACATCAAGGCCAGCAACATCCTGCTCGACGCCGCCTTCCGTGGCCGCCTCGCCGACTTCGGCCTCGCCCGCATCGTCGTCGGCCTCGACAAGAACTCCTACACCGACGTCGGCGTCGCCGAGACGTGGGGGTTCATCGCGCCGGAGTACTCCGTCAGCCACAAGGCCACCCGCAAGACGGACGTGTACGCGTTCGGCGTGCTGCTGCTCGAGATCGTCACCGGCAGGCGAGCTCTCTGCAAGTTCCAGGGGACGTTCCAGCTGCTCGTCGACTGGGTCTGGAGGCTTCACCGGGAGGGGAGCCTGCTCGACGCCGTCGACAATGGCATTGCTTCTTCTACCGAAGAGTTTGATGCGGATGATGCCATTCGGTTGCTGCTGCTTGGGCTGGCGTGCAGCAACCCGAACCCGTCGGACCGGCCGAGCATGACGGAGGTGGTGCAGGTGGTCGCCAGGTCGGCGGCGCCACCGGATGTGCCGCCCGTGAAGCCGGCGTTCGTGTGGCCGCCCGAGGGTGGGGTGGAGGTGGACTCTGATGACGTCGACTCGTCGGGGAGCGATGTCTATGCGAGTTTGTGTGAATGGGAGGAAGAGGAGACGTCGAGCAGCGATGCCCTTGCGGTGAGAGTTTCATCAGGATATCACTAGGAGCAAGGCGTGGGTCGTTGTTAATTAACTAGCATGGTGGCCCGCGTAGATTGCGCGGCTAGTATCATTATATTTTCTCTTATATAATAGCATATATGTTTTTTCATTATATTATTCAAATATATTAAAATGACAACATTATTTTAAATTTTGCAATAACTTTACAAAACTACTCATGTGTAATATTCATATTGTATTTTATATATGTGTTAGTTATTAATTATTTTTAATACCAAATTTTAGTTATTTGTAAATTATATTTATTCCTATATAGACTCTAGACTCGTCTTTTAATATTTCTTTTTTTTAATTTCTAATTTTCTGTAAATTGTATTTCTATATAGACTCTATGCTCTTCTTCCGATATTATTTATTTTTATTTTTGAATTTTTATTATTTCTAATTGTATTTCTATGTGGACTCTAAACTCATCTTTCAATATTCTTTAATTTTTAATTTCGAATTTCAGTTACTTCTAAATTGTATTTCTATATTGACTTTAAACTCGACTTCCTAGGTTTTTTTAATTTCGAATTTTAGTTATTTGTAAATTATATTTTTAAACGGACTTAAACTCTACTTTTAATTTTATTATATTTATTTAAAATTTTACTTAGTTTTAAATTCCTATATGGACTCTATACTCTACTTCTAATATTCCTTATTTTTAATTCCGAATTTCAGTTATTTCCTAATTGTATTTCTATATGGACTCTATACTCTACTTCTAATATTCCTTATTTTTAATTCCGAATTTCAATTATTTTCTAATTGTATTTATATATGGACTCTAGTCTCCTCTTCTAATATTTCTTATTTTTTTATTCCGAATTTCAGCTATTTCTAAATTGAATTTCTATATATACTCTATACTGTACTTCCAATATTCCTTATTTTTAATTCTGGATTTCAGTTATTTCCTAATTGTATTTCTATATGGACTTTATACTCCACTTCTAATATTCCTTATTTTTAATTCTGAATTTCAGTTATTTTCTAATTGTATTTCTATATGGACTCTAGTCTCCTCTTCTAATATTCCTTATTTTTTTATTCCGAATTTCAGCTATATCTAAATTGAATTTCTATATGGACTCTAGTCTCCTCTTCTAATATTCCTTAATTTTTAATTCCGAATTTTAGCTATTTCTAAATTGTATTTCTATATGGACTCTGTTTTTTCTTTTTCTCCGATTAATGTGAGAATTTCTAGACCATGAGAGCGAATGTGGAGGCTCCTTTTTCTATTCCTTTAATAATATAACTAGCTGGGTGGCCCACGCAATTGCACGGCTAGCACCCAAACAAAATCATATATTTTTTAGTATGATTTTACTTAAAATTTGTTGCATAGCTATCTCATTGTATTAAGAGTTTGAAAGATTAAACCTTATCATCCCCGTGTTTTTGGTTATATAGTTTTTTAAAAGTCATACCAATTGCTACCCCTTATATCGTCTCCTTCTTTATTTGCTTATTCGATCTACCACTATTTCTATTCATTCTCCTTGGAACCTTTAAAAATTGGATCTTATGGTTTTTAGAGTTTATTGTCACGTTGGGTTTCGTTTTTATAATTTCTAGACGTCTCGTCAAACGTTACCATTATACTCCTCTATGGCACGTCCACTGTCTCTTCTCTTTATTGTCATTGAGATTTTAAAAATCGAACATAATTATCGTTTGGGTTCATTTTTTACTTTCTAGAAGTCCCGCCAAACCGTCAGTAGCTTTGCCATTATACTTCTCTACGGCTCGCTCGCTGCCTCCCTTTTTTATTGTCATTGAGATTTTAAAATCGAACATGATTATCATTATTTTTTTTACTTTTTAGAAGTTCCGAACTTTTAAAAATTGAACCTGGTAGTTTTTGGAGTTTATTGTCTTGTTGGGTTTCATTTTTTATAATTTTTAGAAGTCTCGTCAAACGATGCCACTATCCTCCTCAACGGCCTGTCCGCCGCCTACTCTTTATTGTCATTGTGATTCTAAAAATCGAACATAACTATCGTTGGAATTCATTTTTTATTTTCTAGAAGTCCCGTCAACCATCAGCGGCTCTGAAACTATACTCCTATACACCCCGCCCGCTGCTTCTCCTTTTTATTGGCATTGGGATTTTAAAAATCGAATATGATTATCAATGGGGTTTATTTTTTTACTTTCTAGAAGTTCCGGAAATCGCCTTACTCGTTTGCTTCACGGCCTGCCTGTCGTCCCTCCTTTTAATCATCATTAGGATTCTATTTGGTGTTTTATTAACAGTTTTTATATGTCGTATCAACCGCCACCACTCTACTACTTTATAGGCCTGTTACTTAATTTATCTTGTCATGTGTTTTAGATGGTCTTTTTCTTTCAATAGTATTTATTTTTATCACAAATTTCAGTTATTTATAAATTGTATTCCTAATTGAAATCTTATTTTTCTTTTTCTAATTTCAGAATTTAATTTTTTTAAAATTTTAATTAATATCGTATTGTGTTCTTTTAATATTTTTATTTTTTATTTTCAATTTCAGTTGTTTCAAAATTGTATTCCTACTTGAACTCTCTTTTAATTTTTCTAATTTTAGATATTATTTTATTTTTTATTCTAAATTTTAATTAATCTCGTATTGGGTTCTTATGTGGATTCTTATTTCAATATTACTTATTTTTAATTCCGAATTTAAGCTTATTTTAAATTGTATTCCTAATTGAACTCTTCTTTATTTTTTCTAGTTTTGGATTTTATTTTTATTTTTATTCACAATTTTAATTAATCTCGTATTGGGTTCTTATATGTCTTCTTACTTGGGTGTTAAAAATAATGATTATGTTATTTTTTGCAAATATTATAGAAATTGCACAAGGGCGAGTTTTGATTAAATATTTTTGTAGGATGGTCTTATGAGAAGGGAGAACTGCTGCTGATATACGAGTACATGCCCAACGGCAGCCTCGACCGGCAGCTGTTCCCCAAGGAGAAGGGCCCCTTTGAATCAAATGATTTTTATAGGAATTTTATAGGATTCAAATCCTATAGGAAATTTTCCTATTTAGCTATTTGATTCAAAGGATTGAAGCTTTCCAAATCCTATGAAATTCCTATGAAATGATACATTGCATGTGGATTTTGGAGGAAATTTAGCAAGAGCTCTAACCTCTTGGAAAATTTCCTTTGAGTCTATCTCTCTCATCTGATTCTACGTTTTTCCTGCGCTCAAATCAAACGATCATTTCTATGTTTTTCCTGTGTTTTACAATCCTCTGTTTTACGCTTCAATTCCTATCAGAATCCTGTGTTTTTCCTATCCCTTTATTTTTTTAACCCTGCGATCTAAAGAGGCCCGAAACCCGGAAGAGTCCTGGGATGGAGGACGCGCTACAGCATCGTGACGGACATAGCCGCGGGTCTCCACTACGTCCACCACGAGCACGAGCACATGGTTCTCCACCGCGACATCAAGGCCAGCAACATCCTGCTCGACGCCGCCTTCCGCGGCCGCCTCGGCGACTTCGGCCTCGCCCGCATCGTCGTCGGCCTCGACAAGAACTCCTACACCGACGTCGGCGTCGCCGGGACGTGGGGGTTCATCGCGCCGGAGTACTCCGTCAGCCACAAGGCCACCCGCAAGACGGACGTGTACGCGTTCGGCGTGCTGCTGCTCGAGATCGTCACCGGCAGGCGAGTTCTCTGCAAGTTCCAGGGGACGTTTCAGCTGCTCGTCGACTGGGTCTGGAGGCTTCACCGGGAGGGGAGCCTGCTCGACGCCGTCGACAATGGCGTTGCCTCTTCTTCTTCTTCTTCTACCGAAGAGTTATTTGATGCGGATGATGCCATTCGGTTGCTGCTGCTTGGGCTGGCGTGCAGCAACCCGAACCCGTCGGACCGGCCGAGCATGACGGAGGTGGTGCAGGTGGTCGCCAGGTCGGCGGCGCCACCGGATGTGCCGCCCGTGAAGCCGGCGTTCGTGTGGCCGCCGGAGGGTGGGGTGGAGGTGGACTCGACGGGGAGCGATGTTGATGCGAGTTTGTGTGAATGGGATGAAGAGGAGACGTCGTCGAGCAGTGATGCCCTCGCGGTGAGAGTTCAATGATATCTCACGGGGCCGAGCAATGCGTGGGTCAGTGTTATATTAAGCATGGTGGCCCGCACAGATTACGCGGCTAGCATCATTATATTTTCTCTCATATAATAACATATATATTTTCTCATTATATTATTCAAAAATATTAAAATGACATTATAATTTTAAATTTTGCAATAACTTTACGGAACTACAAGTGTGTAATTTTCATATTGTATTTTATATACGTGTTAGTTATTAATTATTTTTAATATCAAATTTTAGTTATTTGTAAATTATATATATTCCTATATGGACTCTAGACTCGTTTTTTTAATATTTATTTTTTTAATTCCGAATTTTCTGTAAATTGTATTTCTATATAGACTATAGGCTCTTCTTCCAATATTATTTATTTTTATTTATGAATTTTTATTATTTCTAATTATATTTCTACGTGGACTCTAAACTCATCTCTCAATATTCTTTATTTTAAATTTCGAATTTCAGTTACTTCTAAATTGTATTCCTATATTGACTTTAAACTCTTCTTCCCATGTTTTTATTAATTTTGAATTTTAGTTATTTGTAAATTGTATTTTTATACGGACTCAAAACACTACTTTTAATTTTATTATGTTTATTCCGAATTTTAGTTAGTTTTAAATTCCTATATGGACTCTATACTATACTTCTAATATTCATTATTTTTTAATTCCGAACTTTTATTTTTTTTCTTAATTGTATTTCTATATAGACTATATACTCTACTTCTAATATTCCTTATTTTTAATTTCGAATTTATATTATTTCCTAATTGTATTTCTATATGGACTCTATACTCTAGTTCTAATATTCCTTATTTTTAATTACGAATTTCAGTTCTTTCCTAATTGTATTTCTATATGGACTCTAGTCTCCTCTTCTAATATTCCTTATTTTTTAATTCCGAATTTCATTCAAGTTTCTTAATATGCCTTTTTTTCTTTCTTCAGTTTTTAATTTTTAACTAATCCTAATCTATTTCTATTTTTCTGGATCCCAAAAAATTGTCCATTTCCAGTGTTTCCAGTGTATAGTATGTTTAGGTTTTCCTTTTTTTTTGTTTTTGACCAATTGTCCGATTCAAGTTTCTTAATATGTCTTTTTTTTTCCTTTCTTCAGTTTTTAACTAATCCTAATCTAGTTCTATTTTTCTTTTTTTCTTATTTTTTAATTAATGTGAGAATTTCTAGGCCGTGAGAGCGAACGTGGAGGCTTCTTTTTCTATTACTTTAAAGATATAATAGATAGGGTGACGTGGATTTTCATCTCTTTATTTGCATGTCATTTAAATAGTTATAAAAAAATTTGAAAAAAATTGACAACACAGATTAATATGAAATATATCACTCCACAAACATGCAAGACCAAATTTAACTTCTATAAGTTGCAACAAAAATAACAAATTAAACTGAAAATTGTTATCGCACATTCGCAACTATATTTGTTAATTTTGTTACAACTTGTAGAAGTTGAATTTAAACTTGCATGTTTGTGGAGTGATATATTTCATATTAATCTATGTTGCCATTTTTTTTCATATTTTTTATAACTACTTAGGTGACATGCACAAAACGAGAGGATATCTCCTCGAGGGATGATTTCACTTTCCCTAATAAGGGTAGCTAGAAGATGTGTGTATTTTTCATGTTTGCAGATCGATCGATTAACCAATAGTATCGCATACACATATACTGGGTTGTCAGTATCTAATAAAATTCAGGGAATAATCAGTCTTTCTGATTTTCAGCATTAACACATTGATCAAGGAAATGAATGATTTAATTATCACATTGATGATTTCATTTCATTTCATTTGAATCAAGTTTTACATTATAAAGGACAATGCCACGAACATGGGCCGGTCGAATGGGCTGTTATGTTGGGTGATACATGGGCTGGTTTGAGACTCAGTGTGTTTTCTCCACTTTTCTAACATTTTAGTCCCTCTTTTTCTATACACAGTTACACACGTTTCTAAAACTACTAAACGATATTTTTAAAAATTATATTAATATATTTTTCAAGTTTATTATTTAATTAATCATACACTAGATTGCTATGTTTTGCATGTGGAGAAGTAAAGTTCTCAACGAATGCAAACTTAAAAAAAAGGAAGCAAGGCAAGCAACAGCTGTGGAGGGTGTTAGAATATAATGTGGAAAATGTTTCTACTCGCACATCTGAGTGACTGAGTCTGATGGAAATATGCTCTCGTCGAAATTGAGTAGAGAAGCATGCAGCAGTAATAAAGAAAAACAAAACGTCCGGACGATTGAACCAGAACGATCAGCCTCACCGAATTGGTTTGCTTCGAGGATCATCCCGGGCTATCCTGAACCAATGGTTTGACCAACAGATCGGCCAGCCTTCTAAGACTCACTTTGCTTGTTGAGGCCCAACCACATTTTGTTTTCCTTAAAATGAGAAAAAGGTTGCGTTTGAGGGGACACCTTGGTTGGTAGAGTGCAAGCACGTCGGCTTCACCACCAGGCCAACTTGTTTTGGTGAAGTTATGTATAATAAATAATGTTTTTGGTTCAGCAATTAGATTGGTCAACCTAGCAGTCCAACTGATGAGCCAGTGAACCGAGGGTTCAAGTGGTTCGATAACATATCCGATATTCTTTTTTACTATAGAACTGGCAGAAGTATGCAGTAGCATTGGATCTTCTCTCTCCCACAATGAGCTAGCTGTGCATGTACAAGGGACCCAAGTGAGGGAGTGGTCTGATTTGTCCACCAAAAGCCAGCAACCAATAGCCATATGGTATTGAAATTTCACTACACTGGCCAAGGTCACCTGTGACGGGCCCAAACCCTCATCTTTGACGGCTTCGCGCATGGTCAGTGATCAGTAGTCACTGGTGAGTCCAGTCACCTTTGACGGGTGGCCGGCCGTCACAGGTGACACCCACCTCTGACGGGCAAGTTACTAGAAGGCCGTCAGAGGTGTTGGTCTCCGCTAGCCTTGAGCGAGTTAGGACCCGTCACAGGTGACTCATCTCTGACGGCCCTTTAAATAAAGGCCATCAGAGGTTGAGGTCTCCGTAGTTAGAAGCTGTCACAGGTGATCTACCTGTGACGGCCCCAAAAGTAAAGGCCCGTCACAGGTAGGTCACCTCTGACGGGCCTTTATTTGCTAGTCCGTCACAGGTTATGTTACCTTTGACGGATTTTTGTTCCGACCCGTCACTGATGAGTTAATTCCAGAAAAAAAATAAATGCTAAATATTGGCTAGCCTCAGGATTTGCTAGCCATGCCCTCTGAAAAATAGAAACATCACAGATATATTCCAGTCACAGATCCATCACAGATACATCACCCCCCCAATATAACATCACAGATCCCCAACAACACATATATGCAGTTCAAATGCCACAATTTTGCACAGCAAATTCACACCCCTTGAAAGCCACAATTTCGGTCGTTGCTCATAGAACCGCATATATACTTACCAAATGGATTAAAGCCATAATGTCATCGACCTGCACAACCTGTCAATAAGGAAAAAAAAAAGGAGAAAACAGATGAATAGTACAACATAAATCGTAGTTGATCAAATGTGATGACAATTTAGTAAAGTACCATAAATATTGCACATATGAAAGTAAATTACATTGCACTCTATAAAAACATAATTTTTTACATCGCCAGAAATTATAAAAACATCTTTTTTACATCACAATAAATTATCTAGCCAAGTTCATGAGTCTATTTGGCATGAAAACGTCCTTTCTTGTTCATTATTTCTGCAAGAATAAAGGCGCACAATTCGCCTCTGATAGCGGGGGGGTTGATGGGTGAGATCTTGAAGCCAGCTCTACCTTTCTGTTTAATAAATAAGAGGTTAATTAGCACGTTTTGAATAGCAATGTAGATATTGAAATGAGCTTATTCGCCATTAGCAACAACCTCAGGGTCGAAATCTTTCACCTCTCTTAGAAGTGTTGACATGTTGTGGCACACGTGGAAACCACATTGGTCTCCGATCTGTTGTGCGCATGCAAACTTGGTGTCATGATAAAGTTCATTCTTGCCCTCCTTGTGCTTACCACCCTTTTCCACATATGGGCCCCAAGCCATATTTAAGGCCTTGGTGATTTCACTGAAATCATAATCTTTGGACTTATTGGAGTTAAGGTAGGTAACCCTACTCCACTTAGGTACGATGACTAGGAGAATCCAATGTCGCCTGCGCAGTGGTTATGTAGCGTTAGTACTAAGAACCTTAACTTCAAAAACAATATACACGAAAGGTATTGTCCTCTTACTCTTGGTTGTGTGCGCACATGATGTACTCCTTGTCTTGATGGGCCCATAAACACCGGTTGACATAGTCAACCACCTCAGTGAAGCTTTGTCGTAAATTAACCTCATTCACCATGGATGGATCAAGGAACCCAACCTGATTACCATGGCGACGACTGTCACGCCCGGAAATTCACTAATAATTTCCGAACTAATTTGTGCATAAAATCCTCGTCCAGGAATCAGCCGAGGTACACAAACTGACAATTTAATATACAAATCCATCATAATAATAACGTTACATACTTACAAAAGAAAAGAAAAACAGCAGCGGAATTAACGGTCTAGCGATGGCTTCAGCTCCACTCCCATAGGCAGCTCAACTGGGGTATAAGCCAAACGTCTTCTCCTTCTGGATCCTTTATCTTCAACTGAGGTTTGATTGATTATTGCAAGAATGAGCATATGACATACTCAACAAGCCACACAGCAAATATGCAAGTGCACAAGGATACCAAAGGATGGCATAATATAGGCTCATTTGCGAAAGCAGCATTTAGCAAAGAGTTAAGAGTAGTAAAACAGTAGATTAATTAATCAGAAGTTTTAATCAACACTGAACAGCACACCCATGCTGTACAGGCCCAACCATCCTGAACAACCATACCCGGCTGAACAGATCTAACTCCAAACCAGGAGCTAAGCAAATTATTACCAGTTATTACATCCATAATTATTGTGAAAGGTGTGAGACTAATCACGAAAAACATTGCTCAACCCGCCCATAACCGCGGGCACGGCTATTCGAATAGTTTTACTCTGGCCAGAGGTGTACCACTGTACCCACAAGACACAACCCCACATCATGTCACCATGTGCCTCAATACCACCACGGTACCTCGGAAAGGAGTTGTGACAATACCCCTTGCACAACATAATCCATTACAGCGCACCTTTCCTGGATCATAATCACCCCCTCAAAAACCAGAGGCATGGACTCCCCAGTGACCCCCGTGGACTTCTCGCCACTTCTCAGTCTGGCGCACTATAATGAATCACGCTACACAAAAGATAAAGCCGTTGCCCACGCTGGCTTGTGGTTGGCACGATAAATGTTTCACAACAGTAGCTCGCGAACCGGTCCTTAATTGTCATGAGCACGACTCTCAAAACCATGTGCTCACAACCCACCATTATCAAGTTTTAGTTGGCAAGTAATTAATTAACCAATCACGATTGACCATCGTGAACTATCATTAAGCCATCCTTAAATAATAGTGAGTCATAAGTTATCCCAATAGTGTGCTAATGTTTCTAAGCATGGCTAAGCAATCATAACTAATATCTAGCTGAACCAATATATAAAGCCCAACTAGTCAAGTTATAATAACCCAAGGTATCAAGGAATAAAGTAATCAATGCAAATTGGCCATAACAAAGGAATAAGTTCACACCACCCGGTGACATTCGAAAATAAATGCACAGTTGAAATAAATAGAGAATTTAAATATAGGATCAACATGCTCAAAGGATTGTGTTTAGGATCTGTGTGACTTGCCTTGCAATAATCGGTCTTCAAGTAATCTTCTTGATCACTTCCGACGCACTCACGAACCTTCGCAACGACGGAAACGACAAGCTAACACGCAAAACGAAGAAAAAGACTAATAAAAACCAAATAAACAGTACATATAAAGTAAACAAACATGTAGATCATGATTTTAGATGAATTTAGCAACTTGAACCACTCAAAACCGAGTTACGATGATTTAGTTATGAATTTCCGAAGATTTAATCTATTAGAAAAACAGGAAAAAGAAAAACGATGATGACGTCATGATGACCTCATCAATGGCCGGACCAAGATGGCGACCTCGCCGGAGATTGGATGGTCGGCTGCGACTTTGGAGGACATGAACACGTAGAGGACGACGAGACGAACCCAACGGTACTCACCCTCGAACCAAACGACGAACGACGACGGCCGGCGACGAGGTCTAGCGGCGGCACGGCTTCGGTCGACGGCGGCGACGGGGCTCCGGTGACCGGCGACAGCGGGGAGAGAGCGGCCGGGCTTCTCCACCCTCCCGCGCACCTTACGGCGGTGACAGCGACCGGCGGCGACGACGGAGGCGACGGCACGACGCGGATGGAGCTCGGCCGGCGACGACGTCGGGGTGGAGCACGTGGCGGCGGCGCTACGAGGCACGGGAGACCACGGGAGAGGGGGCAAACGAAAGAGGAGGACTAGGGGGTCCTATTTATAGCCTTGGATTGAAGAGATCGGACTCCTCCCGCAAGAAATCGATCCGGGAAATCAAAAACTCGGTTTTGGAGATAAACTCGAAAACGAGTTTGATTCGGATAAGATACTCAACGATTTGCTCCGATTTTTGGGGGTAAAGATAGAGGAGGATAAGAGGAATATTTCCCCTCAACTAATTTTAGAAAAACACAAGGGGAAAGGTCAGATTTGGAGGAGAAAAAAACCGAGCCAAATCGGTCTCAGTTCGGCTGCTTGAGGTAGAAGATAAACAAAGTCGAGGGAGGCAAATTAGACTTTTTGTCTTGGGCTGGCTGAAAACAAAGCAAAGAAAGAAAGAGAAGGGGGGGAGCTCGGCTGGGCTGACTTGGGCTGCACGGCCGTGCACACAAAAGAGGGAGATGGGCTGGAAAGGGCCCAAGACTAGGAAGAGGATTATTATTACTTTTCCAATTAAATTAATCAATGAAATGATCTTTGAATTGTTAAAAATACTTCCAATGCTCAAATAATTTCAAGAAAAATCCTGAAAATACTTGGACACTCAAAGTACTTAACAAAATTATAATTAGACCATTTAATGATTAATTTAATATGTGGGTAATTACTGAAATGCTCTTTGTAAGATTAAAATTAGGAATTGAGCTCCGAAAAATCCGAGAAAATTCCAGAGAGTATAATTAACCATGGAGAATTTAATAAAAATTAAATCCATCCATGCTTTATATTTAGAAAATTTTATTTCCCACATTTAACTTCACTTGTAAATTAATGAACATTTAATATAAATTCTATTAATAATTTATTAAATAATTTATAAATCCTAACACGAAAATCAGGGTGTGACAACGACTCTCGATCCAACACAACCTTAAAATATTTACGTATTAGAACTAATTTAATTAGGAGATATAGTCCAGTCATATCACAAGTATAGAAGGTATGCACTTACAAGGAGTAGCATTTTAGAAGACCAGTGTCCAACTTCCGGATCCTGAAAAGGTCGAAGAGGTCATCAAAGCCTATAGTTATATAGGCAGGCGACGATAGGAACGGCTGGTGGTCGTGATGTCCAACTATGGATGACTCCCTCATTTTCCGCTTGGCATTGCTTAGCTCCATGTATTGCTTATGTAGCTCTCGGCAAGCAATACCCATCACAGCTAACACATTGTCCTCCACCAATGGCATGCCTAGCTCAAATTGGGCTGGCGCCCTCACGACCTTCCCCGATTTGCTCACCGGCATCGACGTCGCAGCCTTGCCCCTTTTTGGCTCCGGCGCCAACTCCTCGACCTTCCCCTTGCCGCGTTCACGCTTCTGGCCCTTGACAAGTGGTGGGGAGCTATCGGCCTTTCTTGTGGTCTTTATTGGAGCCAAGCTTTGAGCTATATCTGCCAAGTCCATATCAGCTCCACCGGGAGAATGAGGTACTGACAATGCCGGTCCACGGGGAGCCTCAATTGATAGCTTACCCTTGGGAGGTGTAAGCTCCGTCGGTCGACTTGGACGAGGAGTCATCTTCACAACTATGTCTTCTTTGGGCCATTGTATGAACGTCTTGCGCGCATCGCCCAAAGTCATGATTTCATCATTTGGGGGCACGGGCAGCGGATAGCCTGACCAGGTGTCCTTTACTGTATCGATGGACACCTTGGCATACCCAGCTAGCAGGTCTGCGCCGTGGACCTTGTCTGTAACCGAGGGCTTGAAAGCCATGCCCTCAGCGACTTCAGGAGCGAAAGTTGGGTGGACTCTCGCTAGTAGGACACACTGTGCTGCGCCTTGCATAAGGTGAAAGTTTGAATTTAATATTGGAATGTGTAAATGTCTTTTATTAGATATGGATCGAATAACAACAATTACCTCGATGTGGTCCACTACAGCTAGTGGTGCGATCGGGAGACCAGGGGCCGGCACCTCTGTGGATGCACAACTACTCCTATGCTGTGACGGACTCGCGTCGTGTTGTACACGAGGAGTTGGTTGCACAGCAGGTGTTGTGACTCGGGGTATATTCATGTCGGCGAGCACCTTGTTAACCCTTTCTTCCACCCTTGCATTCATGCTAGCTTCTAGTTCTTGAATGACCTCAACCTTAAGTTCGGCCTTCAAACGAGCGTCCCTCTCTTCCTTGGAGACTTTCCGTTTCCTGTATTGGGAGCTGTACTGAGGGAGTCCATGCTTCCAGGGCACATCGCTACCAATTCCCCGAGTTCGGCCAGGATGTTCTTTGGTTCCGAGGGCCTTTGTGAGGATGTCATCTTCACGCCTCTTCGGCGCGGACTCAACCTCGCTTTGTGAAGCTTGTTCAGCAACCAAGCCCAACTAGAAAAGAAGATAGTCGTTTATACGAACTTGTACTTTATACGAACGGAAATTAGTTAGGTTAAGTAGTGAACTCACCAGTTCCTGATAGACGACGGCATCACTTTTGTTCTCAAATGTGACAGAGCCGTCCGGGTTGACCTTACCCCTTGCCCGCGCCCAGTTGCGAGCTCTTTGTTCAGGGATGTCTGAAAACGGGGCAGGGACATTCGCTGCTGCAGCGGCTGCATCTTCTTGGGCCCATATTGCCTCCTTGCCGATGTACCCTGCGGTGCCCAACCGATGCGGGTGCTCATTCTGCTGTTGCAGTACGCGATGTGCCTCGCTGGATTCCCTAAACTCTTGGGTGGTCTTGAGAGAGCAGAATTCCTCCCACACCGCTTCGGTTATTTGAGGGTATTCATCGAACGGCGTATGATTGCCGGGCGGGTTGACATACTCGGTGAAGAGCTTCGACTTCCAATTCTTCCAAGCTTTGCCCATCTTTTGGAATGCCTTCCGCTTGAGCTTATCCTTTGCTTCGGCTGGAAATGTGAACCATTTCTCCATTGCCGTCCAAGCTCGCTCTTTCTCGGCTTCTGTGACCTTCCCGATATCTTTATGGAGGATCCCGAAGTTCTCACGTGCCGCTAGCCCGCAGCAGTTACACCATCTTCCAATGACAGTCCTGGGCGCCGTGGGCCTACCACTAGCGTCAACCTCTCTTATAACTTGCACTGTGGTCGGCCATATATTTTGTGACCGCGGATTTCTACTAGACCTACTTGCACTTGTCTCGCCCGACATCGACGTATGTTGTTCCTGCGGCAATTCTGCAGCACAAACAGAAGGCAATATTTGCTAAGGGGTGCTAGCTAAAATTTATGTGGTCATGTGGTGAAAATTTATCCTATAAATTACCATGAATTTCGGGTTGTTGGACCGCCGTTGTCGCGGGATGACCTTC